CAAAAACCCAGTATTTTTTGGCGGACCTGATTCATGCAAGTTTTTCCCCTTAAAGGTACGAGACGATGAAGATGTGCGTAACATGTTCCGGAGTCACGAGTATTCTGGGTTCTCAGATGTCGTGTTATATGTTACGTTACAGCAACAACAACTGTCTCAGCAACTTGATTCGTCCCAAGTTTTTTGCGATGAGGAAGATGAAAACCCTGAAGTCAATGTCGTTGACGAAGAAGAAGAAGCAACTGAAGTCACTATTGACGAGATGGTGAACAATCCGGAGGTTGAAGTTTAACCTGCCAATGTCTATTGTCCTCCTCAACACATGACTACTATCGCCTTAGGTGATGATGAACCCTCGACGGATGTTTTCTACAACCCCAACTACACAACAGAGGGGCAACTAAAAGAGGGTGACGAGTTTCGTACGAAAGAAGATTGTGTCCGGGCTATCAAACAATTTCACATGGAGTTGTCAGCCGACTACAGAGTCGATCGGATAAATCCTACGCGGTATACGATCTATTGTCGTAACGACGAGTGCCCGTTCCGATTAACAACATCTTTCAGGAAGATAAGCGATTCCTGGAAGATAGGGTCAATGGGTCCGTCCCACGGTTGTATAATCTCGAATCCGATGCAAGACCATCGCAAACTCAGCTCTAAATTGATTTGCGATGAGATTCTGTCAGTCGTTAGCGACAACCCGTCTTTGAAGGTGAGTACCATAATTGCACATATGGTACAAAGGTACAACTACACTCCTTCATACCGAAAAGCCTGGATTGCAAGAACTAAGGCAGTTGAAAGGGTGTTTGGAAATTGGGAGGAGTCGTACAAGGAACTTCCTAAATTCCTGGTGGCCCTTAAACACTACTCTCCAGGGACTGTTGTGATATTGGAGACGATGCCTACTTGTACACCGGACGGGACTTGTGTTGGTGGAAATGGAATTTTCCATAGAGTCTTCTGGGCGTTCGAACCATGCATCAAAGGGTTTGCATTTTGTAAACCTATAATTCAAATTGACGGAACACGGTTATACGGGAAATATAAGGGCACACTTCTCATGGCTGTGGCACAGGACGGGAACAACAACATTTTTCCAATAGCCTTCGCCATAGTAGAAGGGGAGACTGCTGGGGGATGAAGTTTTTTCTTAAAAAACCTCCGCTCTTACGTGTCTCCACAACCTAACTTATGTTTGATCTCCGATCGACACCCATCCATCGAGAGTGCATACAACAACCTTAATAACGGTTGGCAGGATCCTCCCTCGACCCACGTCTATTGCATAAGGAATATTTCCCAAAATTTCATGCGGGAAATCAAAGACAGGACGCTGCGAAAGAAGGTTGTGAACGCGGGATATGCACTAACTGAACCCACATTCAGATACTACCGTGACGAGATCAGACTGAACAACGCGGACGCATTAAGATGGATTGATAGCATTGATAGGGAGAAATGGACGCAGACATACGACAATGGGGTGCGATGGGGCCACATGACAACTAACCTCGTAGAGTCAATGAATTATGTTTTCAAGGGAATCTGAAACCTCCCAATAACTGCCTTGGTGAAGGCAACATATTTCAGGCTAGGATCACTCTTTGATAGCAGACGTACGAAGTGGGGTTCGGTATTACAATCGGGTCAGTTGTACAGCGATACTTCAATGAAATTCATGAAAGAGGAAGCTGCCAAAGCCAACACACACGTGGTCACCATCTTTGACCGTATAACTGGTTGGTTCAGTGTTGCCGAGTCTATGGATCACAACGAAGGAAGGCCTAGGGGATGTTACCGTGTTGAATTAGATAAGAGCTGGTGTGATTGTGGAAAGTTTCAAGCATTCCGTATGCCGTGCTCTCATGTCATAGCAGCATGTTCCAAGTTGCGCCAGGACCCAACCAACCTTCTTTCTGTAGTTCACCAAGTCATTAGTCTATGCAATGTCTACACATGCAGCTTTCAAGTGGTGGCAAAGGAAGACTATTGGCCTCAATACGAAGGCGAAATTGTCTGGCATAATGACCTGATGCGCAGACAAAAGAAGGGTCGGCCTAACAACACGCGCATTCGAACTGAGATGGATACCGCAGACAAGCTGGTGAGATTGTGTAGTTCGTGTCGGCAACCAGAACACAATCGAACAAAATGTCCTAATGTAGGATCAAGCAGCAGATCATAGTTTCATGTGTAATCTTGTCCCGTTAAATCAATATCAAATTCCATTCGCTTAATAGCAACTTTTATAAGATTAATAGCAAATTTCTTTCGAATAATACCAAGTTTCAATCAATTAAAACCATAGTTATCTGACACAACAACAACATGACAACAGAACACTACGCGAAGGCAACATAAATTAAACAAACATAACAACAACATAAGGACTTAAAACATAACACTGCACCAAAGCGTCTACGATATCACGACCATCAACTTTATCTTCTTGGGTGTCAACATCATCATAAGGACACCGGCATCATTTTCCACTTTTCTCCATTCACGAGTCACTCCGTTTCTCCCGGTCTCCTCGACCAGCCTCTCGATTTTCCTAATCTTTTCTCCTGGACCAATATCTCCTTCTAGCCAGCGGTTCAGTTCCTGTGCAAGTGCTCCAACGTCTGCGTATTCCAGAGGAGCACCTTCATCAGAGCCTTTGTTGGTGAAAACACAACTAGGGCATTTCTTTTCATTAGATCGAACGTTGGAAAAGGTTCCTCCGATGCTGATGACGACGACGATGAACGTTGATTTAGAAATGCAGACATTCTAGGCTCCACTCAACTCAAAATGCACTAAAGCATCAGTCTTTGGGGATACAAAGTTGTGAAAACATACTTGTGTTTGCAGTCGTATTTATAGTAAAAAAAATGGTACGTACCCCATATGATATGACTTAAACACCCTTAAAAAATTTACATTAATTAAACTTCAGTGAACACTCAAATTTTATGTTTTAAAATTAAAAATTAATTTGAGATCAACATAAATTTATTTAATTAGGTTTAAAATCTAAACTTCAATGAACACTCAACTTTTAGATCAACATAAATTTATTTAATTAATTTGAGATTATTTTTATTTGAACCTAATTACTTAAAATTTATTAATTAAAAAATAATTTTAACTATAAACCTATTTATTTAAAGTTTATTAATTAATAATTATTTAAAGTTTATAAAATATAACTAATTTAAAATAGTTTATTAATTACTATTTATTTAAAGTTTATTTATTAATTTATTTAAAGTTTAATAAATTGAGAATAATAATTATTTTTGTGAAATCCTAATCTGCACACATTCAACAATTGGGATGACAAATTACTTTTTTATTTTTTAGATTTCAAATTTTCGCCAATTGATGTGGCGAATTGGTATTTTTGTTTTTCCAATTTTCACGCTTTCGCTAATTGGAATGGCTACTGGAAGTTGATTTGTTGATCACTTTGGACATTTATTCCAAATATCCATTATATTGATAAATAACCTTTAATAAGTGGTTATTCTAAAAAAAATTCAACCAAAATGTATTTATTTTATATATAGTCTAAATACACCAATTACTTATTGAATGCATATAATTATAAATTTTTATTTATAACAAAGATCAGAAAAGTATAGCATAAATTCTTCAATTTAGATATTAAAGTTTGTTATAAAGACAATTAAACAATTTAAATTGAAAATATATATAGTTGACCCATTTTTTGACTCGAATATTGAAAAATGTTAAAATGTTGATTTTTCTTGTAATTATACAATACTCTGCCATTTTGATATATTTCTTTCAATTGTTTTTCAAAAAGATATAATGTATTTAAAAAATTAATTATTTTACAATAAAAACTAGAGAAATATTACTAAATTTATTATAACATTTTCAAAGAAAAAATAATTTACTTTTTAGAAGACGACCATTAATTATTATTTTTTAGTATTATGTAACTTAAATTAATAAATTTTGTTTTCTATATATAAATTAAATATATTAGTTATGACTTAGTAAGATGCATGGTCGTTATTGATTGATAGTGAAAAAAAAAATTTACACCATAAATATGTCACTCTTTTATTCATTGATTTATAATAATAACATGAAAAAGTAGTATAAAAATATTCCGAGATATTGTTATTAAGACAATTTAGGTATGAGTTTGATATGAAGAGAATTTTAATAATTTATTTGGTAATATATATATATTTGGCCAATTATTTTTTTGACACAATTGACTGATTTTTAAAAAATAAAATTGATATGTTGAATTTCCTTATAATGTTATATCCTCCTACGCTAATACGCCTTTTGGCTTATTTCTTCCAAATACATATTTTAATCAATGTAAACTAAAAAATATATTTTTAAAAATATATTATTCAAATATATTATTGTATGTTTTTTAAAAAATAAAACCTCCTTTTCAAAAGAAGGTCATTAATTGATATTTTTTATTTTATTGTGTAAATCAAATTAATTAATTTTGTTGAATTAAATTGACATCGACTATTTATTTAAATAAAAGATTAATTATTATGCACGGACAATGTAAAAAGTTTTACATTATCAATTTATCACAATCATCCATTTGTATTATTTTACAAGTTATTAAAATAAAAATCAAACTTATTTTTACCTTCAACATCTATAATTAACTGAGAGTGTAAAATTCTTTTAAACGATTAGTGCATTTCAATTAAATTTTTTAAATAAATAAATATTTACATAAAATTGGATGAAAATCAAATTTTCACATAAATAGAATATTTGACCAAGAAAAGAAAATTCAAATTTACTTTAAAAGATAGTACTAAAGATGAGCATATCCTGCTACGATAATCTGCACTTTTGGTTAACAAGTTCAAAAAAAATTTCATTTATTTCTTCCTATAAATACCTCACCAGTCCATTGAATCCATTTCATAATTATCACACTCACTCAAACCCATTAAAACCTCACAAACTCTTTTGAGAATTACATCAATAAAAAAAAAATGGAGTTCAAAGGGTTAATTTTAATTAAGCTTCTCTTGCTTCTTCAATTATCAGTTCTATGTCTTTCACAGCAACAAGATTTTGATTTCTTCTACCTTGTTCAACAGGTAACATATAGAACTCATTTCAATCATCGTCAACATGAATTAATAATATTGTTTTTTGTATTTGTAGTGGCCAGGATCATTCTGTGACTCAAAGAAGAGTTGTTGCTATCCAACTACCGGAAAACCTGCTGCTGATTTTGGAATTCATGGTTTATGGCCTAACTACAAAGATGGTACTTATCCATCTAACTGTGATCCCAATAGTCCTTTTGAGGAATCTGAGGTATTTTTCATTCTTCACTAATTGCATTTTTATATCATGTCTTCATTCTACTAACTTGCGTTTGTGTATATGATTATTGATTATTATAGATATCTGACCTCACAAGTAGTTTACAAAAGAATTGGCCCACACTTGCATGCCCAAGTGGTGATGGAATTCAGTTTTGGACACATGAATGGGAGAAACATGGAACTTGCTCAGAATCAGTTCTTAAACAACATGATTATTTTGAAACAACTCTCAACTTGAAACAAAAATCCAACCTCCTGGACGCTCTTACGAGTGCAGGAATAGAAGCCGATGGAAATACATACAGCTTAAGCAGTATCAAAGAAGCTATAGAAAAGGGAGTTGGGTTTACTCCATTCATTGAATGCAATGTCGATTCATCTGGTAACAGCCAGCTATACCAAGTTTATCTCTGTGTGGATACTTCTGGATCAAACTTCATTCAATGTCCTGTTTTCCCCCATGGAAAATGTGGATCTGAGATTGAGTTCCCAACTTTTTAAGCTCTTTTTACCATAATAATATATCAAACAATAAGAAAGAAATAAACCTAAGAAAAGACTAAGAGCATGTATCTAATGGATGAAGGATCAAAATTGCATTGCAAAACTTTATTATTTCAAATCCAAACTTCACAAGTATTTTCTTCATTGTATATATGATGTATATAGGTGAGATCTTAAAATAAATGTTTTTAATTAAATAAAGACACTTAAATCATCTATTTCGCAGCTTCCATGGAACTAGTTTGATAAGCATATATAGAATGGCATTCTAACAATGTTTTGTCATGAACAATTTCAATGAGTAGCATTACAACCATCAATTCCACCTAAAAATGAGTTGAAATCACATAGATAAATATAAAAGCTCTAATAAATGAACTCTAAAATCTCTAGATTCAATGTTAGTGTTGTATTTAATTCAATACTTAAGGAGATGCAATCTAATTAACTTAACTGATAAGTAGTTCAAAAACTTAACAATTTTAAATTCTTGAATACAAGAATGCATATATTCCTTAGACAAATATGTGGATAAGAAAATATCACACTTGATTTTGTTCAACACAGTAGTCACTATGCTAAAAAAGATCTTTAGCAGCGTTTTTTTTTTGCCTTTAGCAGCGCTTTAAAGCGCTGCCAAAAGTGGCGCTGCTAAAGGTAAAGACAGCGCTTTTTTTTAATGAAAAAGCGCTGCTAAAAGCTCCCTTCAGCAGCACCTTTAGCAGCGCTTTTTTAGCCCTTTAGCAGCGCTTTTGTAAGCGCTGCATAATTCCCCCAACCATCCCCCCCTTTAGCAGCGCTTTAAAAAAGCGCTGTCTTAAACCCCCCCCCCCCCCCCCCCCCCCCCTTTAGCAGCGCTTTTGCAAAAGCGCTGCCATAGCCCACCCTTTAGCAGCGCTTTTTACAAGCGCTGCCTTAGACCCCCCCCCCCCCCCTCCAAACCAATAGCAGCGCTTTTGTAGCGTAATATTTGTGACCTTTAGCAGCGCTTTTATGTAAAAGCGCTGTCTAATGTCCTAGATTTTAAAATTTTTTTTTTATAAAATATTCACCCTGTTTTGTATATTTTACCAACAACCTGCTTATATTACACAAACCTGCTTATAATTAAGGCCTTTATTTCAGCACTTTGGCCTTATAAATAAAATTCAAACTTTGGCCTTAAATATACCATTCAAACTTTGACCTTATATGTACAATTCAAAACTTTGGATGTAACTCATGACTTTGTTCATAAACATTTTAATATACACATAAACCTGTTTAAATATGTTACAACAAAAATTGACACAAATACATTCAATTCTCAGAATTACAACAACACAAATACATTCAATTCACATATAATTACAAGTCTTCCAATCCGATAACTCTATACAATTCTCAACCCAAGAATAAATTGACACCATTCCTCTTTAATTTCTTCCAATTTTGCTTTCGTGTAAGTAGCGCACTTGAATTCATCATAATACTACATAATATAACAGATCGAATAAGATTTAAGTTTAAAACTAATTACTCAGATGAAGTATCGGATAATTATCAAAATGAATCATATAACTTATATAATGAATTGATCCATACCAGGACTGGAATCTCAAGTTGACTAGAAAGAATAATTTCCCTCATAAAGCGCAATACAAAATATCCATAGTCAATACCATTACGCTGCCGAGGACACTGTAAATGGAAAAAACAAACGAACATTTATCCGGATATATAGTTGAAATAGTTTTATCAAGTAGAAACATGCGAGAATATACCTCTACTCTGATCCAGTTGATGTTGTTAGCCTTCCTTTTTGGCACCGTTGCATCTCTTTGTGCTCTGAATATTTGTATAACTCTAACATAATATAAACGCATATTTAGAACAATGTCACATAATAAATAAAGATATATAATTAAAGACAACAGTATATGTCATCACTTACGTATCAATAAAGTTCCTCAGATTTTCATATTTTGTTGTATCGCCATCCAATGAATCTATATAATACACTATTTCTTTCGTCGGATTAATTGCGATCAACAACCAATGTCCACTATAAAATAAGACAACAGTTTAGACGGAAATGTTATATATATAGAAAGGGAAAAATCGAACAATTATAATAAATGAATTTAGAATAAAATCTAACCCATGGCCAGTGTTATATGGCAACAAGAACAACTTCTCCGTAGTCGCGTGCATAAATCTCTGCACTGTGTACTCTTTGACTGTATCTGGTGACTGGTCTATTATACGTGAGTTGACACAGCTAGCAGATAAGAATGCGAATACTGAAGTCAATTCATTCGGGACCAATAACTTGTCATACAAGAACCTAAAAAAACATAATCAACATTATAATATTAAGTTAAACGAGCAAATTTTAAAATGTTCAATTATTTAATAAAAATGGATCGGAGTACCTGATGTATGAATGCATAACACCGACGCCCAGTTCAGAATGGTTGAAAACCTGATCAAAATCCTCCTTAGCAATTGTTTCGGGATATTCAAAACCGAAAATACCTGCCTCCATATGTATTTGACGGACGCCACCCTCAGGCACATCTGATGTTCCGACATATGTTTCAAGGCACATCCTAAATCGAGGAACAGTTGCTTTTCTGGGAATCTTGGAAGTTTCAGGCATCTTACTCTTGCTGACTTGTTGCGACTGCTGATCATGAACCTAAAAGTCATATATAAGTTCAATAATTAATATTGTATAACAAGATAGTCATGTAACTGTAGTAGTACCTGTTTCTTTGATGCAGCTGAATCGGTATCCCGCACAATAATTCTATCATCTTTTGATTTGGATTTTGTAGGAGTCTAAGATCATCATGTAAATAAGAAAATGTAGATGTAAGAATAACTTTCATGTATGAATCATAAAACATTTGAGTATTAAAAGGTTCAACCTACCTCATCATCTATGAAAATCAGATTTGTCGGCCATGCCACATACGATCCTACTGCGTCTCCCACCACTATTGCGCCTGAAATATCATCTGGTATAGGCAACAACGCACTCCCCTCTAATGCAATATCAATAGATACTTTCAAAAATCCAGAAGGGAGCGGTTTGTGGTGAAGTAAGTCTCCCAGAAAGTTATGCACCTTTCCTTTGCCAACCATTCGATGAGTAGGTGACGATAAATATAGCCGGCAAAGTGAAATGCCCTAAACAAATAATGATCAGTTAATGTGTCAATTAAGTAAAGTGTGCTAAATTAATTTCAATGTAATATATACAATTACCTCTGGAAGCTTCTGTGGACAACCGGTACTATCTTTGTCACTAGTAGCTCTACCCTCTGGAGCGCGTCTTTCCGCCATGTATCTCTCCTTATCCTTCTGTAATTCACGGATTTGCGCTTTCAATTCCTCCAAAGTCTCCATCACTTCTTTATTGGTTGGATTTTTTTTCTTTGGCTGCTTATACAGTTTAGATGGAGTGACACCAAATCCCTTACCCCTCACACGCCCAGAATACTCAGGAATATTCAGCACCCGACTCAGTAAGCTCCTGCAATCATTGTCCTCGGCGGGAGTTATGGTCTGGGACAGAGTCTCCTGAAATATAGATAAAAACATATATAAATATATTACACACTTTTGATTAGTTATTGACAAAGATAACGTTGTACTTACACATTGTTCAAAGACTTGTTGAACTTCTTCCTGAACGACTCAATCTCGTCCCACACGGGCAGCCTTCCATACAACATGGTCCGGAAGAGATGTCGCATCACTCTTCTCCTCTTCCAACTACGCATTAAGACGGATAATAAAGCATTGTATCCTATTATATATACTTACTATTTTTTGTAAATATATTATATTAAAGCATTTATATGTACTTACTATTTTTTGTTCTAATCGTGCATATCCCAACCGGCCCTTTCTGTATGGATATGCGAGATTTGATGCCCGTTGACGATTTAAGCCACTAACAACCTGAAAAAATAAGTTTATCAGAACTCCTGTACATGGAATAAGTATATACTATTGATGCCCTTTCTGTACTTACTTCAAATTCTTTTGATCTTCGCTTTGCAACAAACGTCTCCCATTCTTCCTCTGAAATCAAATCCGCGTACTTCATCGGACGCTCTGAGTCAACAAAGTTTCCTTCAGAATCTTTTAGAAACTTGTTTGTTAAAAACGCTCTAAATCCCCTCAAGCGTTTTCCGGCCAATTGAATACAATATTTTCTCCTACGATCTTCAATATTGAAAGATCTCTGCAAACAAACACACATACATATAACATGTTAGTATATTTAATTTAAAGACGTAAATGTCAACAATAATTAAACAATTCCAATATTATACCTGAATCTCGGTCCAAATCTTATCTTTAGCCGGTTGTAAAGAAACAATTCTCCAATTATCGCAAGTAATCGGAACTTGCGAACGTACAAGTGCTCCGATGTAACTTGTGAGCAACGCACCGTTAGGCTCAACTAACTGGTCTCTTTCATTCCAATGGACATCATACTTTACTCCCTTATCTCTCGCACGGATGATTTTTTTCATAATTGTTATGCCTCTTTTAATATCGCCTTCCACGTCTTTTGTTGTTTGTTTTCCATCATGTGTTGTTTCCTCGTTGCTGGCCATAATATATATATCTGTAATTCAGAAAAACCAAAGTATCAAATGAGACATAAGAAATGTGTAAATAAGAAAAACATGGTATAAATAAGAAATAACAAAAACATGGTATAAATAAGACATGTGTAAATAAGAAAAACATGTTACAAATATATACATAAGAAATGTGTAAATAAGAAAAACATGGTATAAATAAGAAATAACAAAAACATGGTATAAATAAGACATGTGTAAATAAGAAAAACATGTTACAAGTACCTTTAACATCTCTTTCTTTTTTCGTTGTAACGGGGTTTACTTGTCTCTTAACAACACGGACAGATGGATTGATCCAAATTCCCTCGTTATGATCATTTCTAATATATGATTCGTCCGCTCCAATATTCT